AGAATATACTGTTTTATATTGTGAAAATCCTTGAGAAATATGTTAATGTGCCATGGAAAATTGAAATAATTTAAAATTCAAAAAGTAAAAATATGAAAGATTTATGTAAAAATCAGAAATTTGTTACAAAAATAAAAATTTACTATTTTCACCAACACCTTGGTATCCTACAAAATATAAGAATAACCCATAGAATGAAAATTAAAGAATCTAAAAATAAAAAATCATGAATAATTTGGAATATACAAAAGTCATTACTATTTCTCCTCTTTGTACATTCAATAGCTCAACTTTCTTTATGGATATTTGGTTATTTGATAAAGGGATTGTATATGACGAGACCATCTATCTTTGAAACAAGGTGGTCACAATTACTTACAACCATCCAATGTGAAATTTGATAGCTTTGGATGTATAACAAAGTTTGAGGAAATTTATTTTGAAGTTTGAGCTTGGTAAATGGAATAAATGCAGCCATTGAATTTCACATCCAATGGTCAAGAATAATTGTGACCATCTTGTATCAAATGTAAATGGTCTCATTCTATACTCTTCTTTTGGTAAAACATATGAATTTCACTTCTATTAAAAAACAAAATATAAATTTCACATGCATTGTAAGTAATTGCTTGGTGTACTAAGTCCAAAGACTTCAGTATACACAATTAAATCAAAGAGTGGAGAACTACACATACTATCAACATTAATAAAAACTACACTTACTAGAGGACTAATATCTTGATCTATCAATTTAATAATAGATATTGCTAATGCATATACATGCAACATTAAAAAAAAAAAACAGAGATCCAAAAATGAATATCTTATAATGTTTGTTAAATATTAGGGAAATTCCCATCCCATAAGGTCATAAATGTTTTTTTATAAAATTATTTCTTAAGAGAGCATCTAAGTTAGGGGCCCGTGATAACATTAGAAATAAAATAAAATAATATTTCTATATAAGCTAACACCAATTATCCAATAAAATAAAACATTAATCCACCTAGCAAAAATAGAGAATATGAAGTAAGTTAATAAGTATTTAAAATAAAAAATATATGGACTAAAATCTTGAAGATCTTAAATTTAGCAAATTCTTCAGCAATTGCAATGTACATCAAAGTGAAAAAATTTAGAACATTTTAAAAAGAAAAGAGAAAAACGACTACACGGTTATTTATCTAAAGACCATGAAGTAATTCTTATATTTTAATATAATTTAATACATGATAAATATCAAATTAAATACAATAAATTTTTTAACTTAAATAAAATATTACAAAAAATATGTAGGCAGGTTACCATCTAAGCTATAAGAATAATCTTAGTTGATAGCTTCATATTTTGTTATCACCTAATTAACCAAAAAACAAAGTCAAAAAAAAAAAAAATCATTCCATCACCAAAAAAAAAAGAGAAGAAATGCTCAAAGATAAAGAATCTTAAATAAAATAAAATAATAACTGAAATATCAATAGAAAATATAGTAAAATATATGCAAAAAAAAAACATAAATAAATAAATAAAATATGCAAAAAATGATAATAAAAAAATAATTATATGCAACTCAAGATAAAAATATTTGAAATGATTGCATGATCTTTCTTCAAGCAACCATCAAGTAATCCTTATATTTTAAAATAATTTAATGCATAAGAAATAACAAATTAAATGTAATACAATTTTTTAATTTACAATTGTGCAAAAATGACAAAAAAAAAGATGAACACGTTCTACCATCCAAGCTATAAGCATAATTCTGAGCCGATAGACACTGCCTTTTAAAAATGTCGAGTTTCATATCAGATGGCATTTTCTAAAGAGATTATAGTAGAAATAGGGTGGGTTATAGAAGTGATGGGTATGGTATAATAAATAATTAAACCCAGTGGCTTGTTTATGTTATCCCTAACCAATGTCAATAAATAATTAAACCCAGTAGTTTGTTTATGTTATCCCTAACCAATGTCAACTAGTTTAGTAGTTGGGCGGCTAGATTAACGTCCATTCGAGGGCGAAGTAAGCCACTATGAAACTCCAGCTCACACCAGAAAAACTACCAAAAGAAATGAACTTTACGATAATAATATAACGGGGATTATCTTTTGTAAATAGAAGTCATAATTATTCTCACTCATTAATATAATAGAGGCAGTTTTAACTGTCTTTTTTTTTTTTTCTATGTTCGTCGGCTATCCAAACTTTTCTATACTTGTTAAAGAGAATGTGAACTATAGCATAATACAACTCTACCCTCTCTCTATCGAACACAACCCCATTTCCACCACTAAAAGATTTCCTATCTGGATATGTCGAAAGAACAAACAGATGAGATCCTCTCTCCATCTCTCAATCTAATGAGGAAAAAATTTATATAAAGTTGCAATTTTATGCTATAAAAGCAAGATAGTATCTTCAAAAGCCACTCGAAAAGAGAGTTTCGTCATCAAAAAACCTTCTAATTGATCATGTGGACCTTGATATATATATATATATATATATATATATATATATATATATATAGTACACTACCTAACGTAACTAAGTAGANATATAATTAAGTAATTATATACGTACTACTTATTATAGTTATTAATTTAATTAGTTAGTTAGTAATAT